TCGCTATCTGATAAGATAAGATAGGCGCGCACTTATTCTGGAATATTTTCGAAAAACTGTGACAATGTCCATCACTGTTGCATTTTATACAGAAGCAAAGGTGGCAAGGCATGACACCAGAAGTGGGAGTGATAATGGAAAACTCATGGTGTTCGAGCTGTTCCTCTAAGTTGGCAGCCTTGAGACGCGTACAACATTGACTTATTTCTTCTTCTGCATGAATAAGTTCTTCCCCTATAGAACATCGTGCTGCCAGGAGTAGATCGATTTTTGCATCAACAGCCCTGAAACAGTCTACTTTGTCCGTTACTCTGGGATCACGAATATCTTGAAGTGATGCCCAAAGACTCTCCAACAAGTTGTCATTACACGTCAGCAAATATTCCCAAGTATCCTCCTCCCATTCCTTGTCCAAGGAGTTCCCGTTTCCTACAGGCTCGGTGGTGCGAAGTGTGTCTACTGTAGTCATTGACACTCGCTGTAATCCAAAGGCTGGGTTGCCATTGATGGGTACGCCCATAGGAGGTCATGTAATGAAGTTAGCGTAGGCTCCTGGGAAGTGGGGTAGTATGCGCTCCAGGGGTTCAATGTCTTGAACAGGGGTAGAGGTGTCAAAGGGAATGGATCGCCAGGCCCTGGTGATGTCGTTTGAAGGTTGTTGGATTATGTCGTCGCTGTAGACTAAAAATTCCTGGGGATCGCTGCTATACCCTTCCATCGCCGTAACATACTCACTGACATTGGCTAGCAGTTGTAGATTGTGAGGATGATTAATGCTATCATTGTTGGAGACATCAGAGGCAAGGGGTGGCATGCTGGGGGAATCAGTGAATGCAGCAACAGGACTGTCAGGATTTTGGGAGGACAAGATGTTTGTAGACAATGAGGGTGGGAAGACCTGTACAGGCACAAGGTGGTAAGATCCAGTGGTCGCTTCTGAGGTATTGTGGGAGATCTCCAGAGGTCCAGGGAATTGATGTAAGACTATGGCATTGCTATTGGAAGAATCCAAGAGACCTGGGATAAGGAACGGTCGATGGGTGATGCTTGGCAGGGGTGCAAAAGGATACCAAAATCCCCCTTCACTAAGAAACTCTATTGAAGAATCCTCAGAGTTAGACTGGGAAGGAAAACTTAGGATAGGGCAGACAGGAGTTGGCATTTCTATTATTCCAGCTGTGAACCATTCTTCTAACGCCTGGAGGTGGGAAGGATAAGGGGTTGGCACTCTTTGTACACCAGTTGTCGGAGAATTGTTGTGCCTAGAAGGAGCCAGAGGGCAACGTGGAGTACTTTGAGTCGCATTGTTGGTTCTAGTGCGGTTATTGCACTCAGCAGGCATAGGAAGTAGCCAGAGAAGGAGTTGTTTTGAAAAGACTAGAAAGAAGATACAAAACACAGCAACTACTATGGACAAAGAAAGACCCCAGACCCTAATCTTGATGCTCCCTGATGTACTCAAAGTACACCTGTGTCAGGTTGTTGCCGTTACGGTTGGTAGCAATGACAGGGAGGTTGGTGGTGGTATGGGGGAGGGGGCACTGTGCAGTGGTGGCAATGTTGAATGCCCACTGGTGTTCGCGTTCTAGGTGCCGGATTGTGAGACGAAGGAGGAGGGGGATGATGAGGGCGAGGGCGAGGGTGGATAGGAGGCTGAGGAGGAGGAAGAACCCTAGAAGGGTGAGGAGGAGGAGGTTGGGATGGTCATTGATGACAGCAAGGGTGACGGCAGTGATGGGGGAGATTTGGTTCACCACTAAATAAGTCAGTAAAGGGAGTGGGGATGAGTAGATCTGGAGAGTTTACTTGTGCTCTGGCTGGCCACTCAGGGGTTTGGTTGACGATGGGGGTTGTGGGTTGGTGAGTGAGGATGACTTCTACTTTGTAGGTTTCCCTGAAGTAGAAGAAGGCAAGGGTGAAGAGTAGGATGAGGACGGCAAGGATAAACCAGGTGAGAATGAGGATAGCAGTGAGGATAGTAGTGGATGCCATTGTATAGACCAAGGGAGGGTGGTTCTTATAAGGAGTTCATCCTTTGTTTGGTTGCAGAAAGTCAGCCAAAGCGTCTTTGGCATGTGAAAGTTCGGTCTTTGGCAACCAGGAGTCATCCAAGGCTGGGTATCCTTTCTATCGTACCCAGTACAGTGTTCACTTGCCAACCGTCTTTGAATCAATGATACGTTCAATTTCAAACTCCTCCTGGTTCTTGATGAGTTCCAGTGGAGGTCGGAGGTAATTATTTCCATGCATTGTTGTTTCTGAATAAGGATAAAGTAATCCTGCATGGAACATGGGATGCATCTTCCATTTAGGTGGTAGTTTCAGTTGGTAAACTACCAATGACAGTTTCTGATCAATGGCGAAGGGTCCATAGCATTTTGGTCCGAGTTTTGCCTTTGGATGGAGTCCTTTGAGATTGGTTGCTTCTAGCCACACCTTTTGTCCAGGCAAATATTCAACAAACTTGTCCTTATTTTGTTTCTTGACTGTTTCTTCTGCTAGTCGAATGCTGGATTGGATCTCCAAGCAGAGATGTGCTAGCTGAGTGAGTCTAGAAGCAATGTCCGGAGTATCGGCTGTTCCCACAGTGGGAATATTATGCCGAGGTTGGTAACCCATGAGCACCTGGAAGGGGGATGTCTTGATCACATCATGATATCTGTTGTTATACACAAATTCTGCTAGCGGCAGGTGATGTGTCCAGTCTGTTGCTGGGTGATTGCAAAAGATCTGAAGATATAATTCTAGATCTTGATTGACACATTCTGACTGTCCATCAGTTTGAGGGTGGAATGCACTAGAGATGTTCTGTTTGATGCCTAATTTGGTGCATAGTTCTCTAAACATTTGTGATGCGAACTGTGGTCCTCTGTCAGAAATAGCTTTGACAGGTAGTCCAAATTGTCAGAAGACATGGTTCTGATACAGAGTGGCAGTTTCAGATGCTGTGACTGTTTTGTTACAGGGTATGAATACTGAGGCCTTGGTACAGTCATGATTGGTGACCACTAAACAGCTGTCAAAACCATTGCTCCGAGGAATATCCATGATGAAGTCCATGGCAATAGATTGGAATGGAAGATGATGTTCCGTTGAGATGGGTACTAGATCCAGTGAGTTCCTGTGTGTGATGACCTTGTTTTCTTGGCAAGTTGCACAACCAGTGACGTATTCACTGACATCATGGGCAAGAGCGGGCCACTCATAGGTTCTTTGGAGGATCTCTTGCATCTTGTATCATCCAGGGTGTCCTGTGGCAGGAGAATCATGGGCTTCCTGGATGAGATTGTTACAGCGTGAAAGGGGGGGTTTCTTTTTCTTTCCTAACTATTCATTGTTGACCCTGTACTATACAACTGATCCCATCACTTGAAATGTTTCACCTACATCAGGTGTTATTTCACCCACATCACGTTTTGTCACAGTTTTCCTATCATGTGATGACCCACAGTGACTCCACCCAATACCCTACACCTAACCCTAAGCCTGACTATACTCACTATCTGATAGTTCTTCTGAGTAAAATGCTTGAGGGCGGTTTACTAGTAGAGGGCACTGATAGGCCCGTGTAGTGCACGGGCGCGCCTTGAGTCATACTCAACATTCGAAGCGTTCAAAGCTTCCACCTTCGGGAACGACTGCGATACCTCGACACGAGAACGCCTTCGAGCAAGGCCCGCCCTTCAGCATCTTCAAAGCTTCGCGATCTCACGACGATCCAATCGGGATCTTTCGGTGGCGGCTTTATTCTGGGGGCTCAACTTTGAAGACGAAACACCATCATCCGGAGATTGGGACCTACAATACAGGGCTGACAGGTAAACCTTTAAGTCGACATGCTCAGGTCGCGACGCCAAGACTCGCAACGGTGATATGTCTACGGAGTTCCTAACCCTAAAATAACCTAAAAGGGGG